TCAATCCGGAAGGGTCCCAGGATGTACAGTTTTAGCATTTTCCTGATCTAGTGAAAGAGCTATACTTTGGGAAACATTAAAATACAATGCATCTCAAGCTTTAGTGTGCAAATGAGAGTCCGGTTAAAATACCGATTCTGAATCACTGAGCCTGGGGTCTGCCTTGCATTTCGCAAAAGCTTCAGATAATGCCCTGAGATTCTGTATTTCTTAAAAGTTCCTACACGATGCTTATGCTGCTAAGGGTGGAAGGGTCAGTCTTCACCTTGGCCAATCCGGAAGCCAGATGTTTCCAATTCACCCAGAACTTTGTCATGAAGACATCAACACAACAACCAAGTGGGCATAAAAGTCAAACTGCCAGTTTAATTTATGACCTTGGTTCTCAACCATGGATGCCACTCGGATCACCTAAAAATTGCCAGCCCCTTTTCTCCATGCCAGGGAAGTCTGACTTAATGAACCTGGAAAGATGACTCACATCAGTTTCCTAGTTGCTAGTGTGCGGCTACACTGAGAATTACGGTCTTGCTGAGACCTGGAACAACAGGTAGATCAAATACCATGGTCTACTAGTTAGCACATGGTTTCTCCTGCAGACCTGTGTATGTAAGAATCCAACAAGAAATGGCTAAAATCACCAGAGAAGTGGCTGAATGATTTTAGCAGCTCAAATCATCAAGCCTGGTGCATAGGCGTTCGCCGTATGTCCAGGGAGACAGGTGCCCAGGTGGGCCCACCAGACTCCCTCTTCAACTGATAACTTTCTTGTACTCTAAGCTCCCATTACCTATACTCAGCCAGACTATCCCACCTTTGTTAGTTTCTTTCACTTTTTAAAACATGTTTCATCATGATTTCACGGAAAGATTTTAATTCACTTTTTCGCCGTTTACTCTAATCGTCTTTTCAGCTCCCTAAAATGTTACCTTGGATTCTTTGTTCACAAGCTGATATCCCTGAGTCGCCGTCATTCTCACACAGTGATCAAGCCCTAGTGAATAGATTTCCCTTGCATGTAAATAGCATTTCATTTGTTGTCATTTGCTTATTTATTTTTCTTAGAAAGGAAGTTTTATTTCCAAATTGTCTAGCAGCACTGTTGACATATAAAGTCATAAACAATGTATATTCCATATCAATTAAGTGACTACATGAAGTATATATATTCTCTGAAGCTTCACAAGGTTAATGGAAGAGCTGTTATGTTTGAAGACCAATTTGACAAGATGTTGTGTAGAAACTATTTTGGTTTATGATCGTAGAATAAGACCACAGGGTTTGTATTTCTTAGGAAAACGTGCTTAACATATAATTGGAATAGTGTGTAGAGATGTAGAGGCACATTCTTACAAAGAAACTTCAAGCTGAAAACTGGACAAGTGCCAATGGAGTGTTTAACTGCCTTTCTATGAAAACAGTTGACCAAGAATTATTCTTTTTATGGGTGAACTTTTACTGCCATTAAGTTCAGTGGCGATCGTACCAACAGATCATTTTGAAAACATGCAAAAGGAAAGAGTAGCAATCAGGGTTTCTTTGTGAAGTCCTGTCAGATTAATTGAAGTTTCCTCTCTGTCAGAATGGTAGGATTGATGTATCAGTTGAAGTAACAGTTGTAATTTACTGTGACTTTAAATGAGCTTCAAATTCTACTTGCTCAGACTACAAATTACAACTATTTAAAAGTGTGGGTTAGACTGGATCCAACATGGCTAGAGTTTTATTTATCCACACCAGAGATTTATCCCAAGCTATCTGTGATTTTTCTATCTGAACCTAGAGTTTTTAATTAATGTTATGATGGTGCTCGTATTTGTATATTCTCTGCACACAACTTCAGTTTGGACCACAGTTATTAGAGGGAAGAATATTAGGAAATATTGAGAATGTCTCCAGGTGTGTACCCTCTAGACAAAGGCAATGTTCTGCAGGAGGAATATGTCAGTTGTTTTGGGGGAAATAGGGTTATGCTTCTCAGGCAATCACCACATATAATAGGGCCCCTTTCAGTGTTCCTTCACCTCTATTCCCTGGTAGTCCTGTAACATGTAAAATCACGCCCATAAATATGTAATCAAGATGCATTAATGCATTTTGAATCAGAAAATTATATGGTTTACTATACTGGAAAGGACAGGTTCAAGGGAAATACCATAGGATTCATTGTCAAAGGTTATTTAAAATACAGTCTTGGTGGTGAAAATGAAGCTGAAGATAGCATGATTGAATTTTGCAAGACCTACCACTTCATTGCAAATACTTTTTTTTTAACAACACAAAAGGCGACTATACACAAGTCATCTCCAGAGGGAATACACAAAAATAAAATTGACTAAGCTATGGGCTGAGATGATGGAGAAGCTCAATATCAGGAGCTAAAACCAGTCCAGTGGCTGATTGTGGACATCAATTGTTCATACGCAAGTTCCTGTTGAAGCTGAAAGAAATTTACAAAGGTTCATAAGAGTCAAAATCTGACTTGAATTTTGAAAATATCTCAAAAGCAGATTAGAAGTATTGAACACTAATGGCAGGAGACCTGATGAGCTGTGGGGTGGCATCAAGAACAACATACATAAAGAATGCTGAAGGTCATCCAAAAGACAGGAAAGAAAAGTGGGTGAAGGGAGATGTCAGACAGGGCAAGATATGACAAAATAATAATTTATAAATTATCAAGGGTTCATGAGGGACAGGGGAGCGGAGAGGGAGGGGAAAATGAGGAGCTGATGCCGGGGGCTTAAGTGGAG